AATGAAATAATAGTGATAGAGTGCTGTATCTTAATTCTGTGGATCAGAAGTGTGACCTGAGTTTTACCAGGCCAAGACAAGGTACTGGCAGGCCTGGGCATTCTCCGAGGCTGCAAGGGCAGAATCCACGTCCTTGCCGTCCTTAGCTTCTGAAAGCCCGTGTGTTACCCGCGGCCTCTTCCGTCATCTTCAGAACCAGCAACAGTGAGTCCGGACTCATGTGCCTTCATTCCCTGGTTTCCTACAGCTGTAAAAGGTTCCCCCGTGTTTACTAGGCATGGGATTAGATTGGGCTCACATGGATACCCCAAGATAACTTCCCCGTCTCAAGGTCCTTAACCTTAATCACATCTGCAAACGTTCCTTTTGCCACCTAGCGTAGCATATTCACACTTTGTGAGGATTAGAGCAGGGGCATCATTGAAGGACCATTGGTCTGCCTACCACAGTGTTTAACAATGGATATAGCTCTTTGTAGGCCCTCTGAAGGAGACAGTCTTGCAAGGTCTTCAGTGCCCTGAGAGATTCCCAGCGCACTGGGAATATGACCCTTAGGCACAGGTAGTTTTTAACCTGGTGGGAAAATGAGAAGGCTAACGTCAGAAATCATTCGGACCCAGGAAGAATGACCAAAGTCATGTTTAATGTGGGGTTTCCGCTAAGTGTCATGGAAAAGTCAGAGGGCCTCTGGTTAGCAAGTCATCTAGCGTATTGGAACAGAGTGAGTGTGTCAGGAATGTGAGTTTTAATCCAGAGGAGGGTCTTTACAGGACACAGGCTAAGAGGGAAGACGGCAGAAGGAATGGTTTTCTGACTAGTCAGTTAAGGGAAGTAGATTTATTCATGTCACAGTTCTTCTTTCTGGTCCCACTGGTCTTGTTTGTTCATTCAGGCAACAGGTATGGACCTGGCACCATACCTAGTAGTGGGGCTGCAGTGAACACGGTGCATACGCCTGTGTTTCAAGCTCTTTGTTAGGAAAGAAAGTAATACACTTTGACAGTGGGAGCCCACAGGAGGGTGCAGCTCCTCATGCAGGACAAGGAAAGAAGTGCCTGTACACTGAGACCTGAAGACTGAGTTGGAGTTTATCAGCTGCAAATAATAGCCCGATTCAAATTTCTTCAGCAGTGACAAACTGATTGGCCCACTTCCCGAGGCATCCAGGAGTGAAGCAGACCTCAGGGTTGGTAATCCTGGTGACACTGTTGCCAGGGTTCTGTGATTCGCTCTGCTGGGCTTTCTTGTCTGTTGGTGTTACCTCTAGACTAGATTTCTTCAGGGTAGCAAAATATGCAGCAATTCCAGGTGTCACATCGGTGCACCCAGCATCCAAAGGAAGAAAATCATCTCTGCCCTGGGCTCACTCTTGAGAGTAAGAAAAGCCTTTTCCCTCGTGCTCCCACTCACTGCTCTCCGTGGACCTGAGGGAGGTGCAGGCTCATTTCTGAAGCAATTGCTGTGACTGGGGAAGCCTTAGACCTGAACCTGTCACTGTGGTACAGACAGTGGAGTCACCCTCCCTGAAGACACATGGAGTAACCCCTCTCAGGGGACAACCAACGGAAAAGTGGGTGAGGGGCGGCAGAGGACACTGTAAGATATGGAAATAATAACCTATAACTTATCAAGGGTTCGCGAAGGAGGGGGGAGACATGGGGAGCTGGTATCGGGCTCAAGTGGGAAGGGAAGGCTTTGGAAACGATGATGGCGGCACATGTGCAAACGTGCCTGACACACTGGAGGGATGTATGGATTGTGGTAAGAGGTGTACGAGCCCCCAATGAAAGTATTTCATTTTTTAAAATACCGCATGGAATGATGCAGGCTGCGAAGTCAGAAA